TGGGTTGGTGCGGGGGGGGGGGGGGGGGACAGGACTGAATAATTGTGTTCTTCCTGTAGAAATCTATTTAACACAAAACTGCTAGAGATTGCAGAGATCTCACTTTTTAGAGCCAAAAAAAAAAGTGAGATTAGGCAGTTTGACTAGGATTCTTGGTCCAAAGCTTTTGGTCTTTTAGAAAAAGTACAGACAACCTGGGATTCCCATTTTTCTTGGATATCTAAGTGTATTCAGTTAAAATGCCAGTAGGCTGCCAGGTAATGCTTCTCAACTTTTTAGACCAAGAAATTCAGAGAAAATAAGTCTGGGTAAATGGCCCCTGGCTGGGAATCCTGTGTCTGGTGATAACTCTGTCAATACCCCTCAAGTCCCAAAACAGGAAATGACCTAGTCTCTTCTGAATGTTTTTTTGTCTTCTATAACATCTTCTCTTGATCATCATTTGCAATTTAGAAACCTAAGCTTCATCTAAATCCTGTTTGGATCTCATCCAAATCCAGTGAGTCAGGTGCCTAGTGTGTCCATCCCAAAACTGCTAGACTTCAAGGACAACGCTCATTTTTTCAAACTTTTTACTTTCATAAAGAATGTAAAATATAGCTCATAAAACTTCTGTTGAACTGACTGATTTGTAGACAGTGTGGTTGATTGATCCCTTTCTGACTGCAGAAACAGAACAAAGTTTAAGAAAGTGTGATTTGATTCTCCAACATTAACTTTACTATGCTGTCTCCAGAACCCAGTTGTCTGATATCATGGTTCCTTGCTAGCAGTGTGGACAGGGTCACCTGCCAGTTGCTCAAGGTGGCAAGTACTGACCAGGTGGGCTTCACCATCTGATCAAACCTTGCCAGTGCTACAGCTCCTTCTCCTGTTGCCACTGCTATTGCCCTGGCAACAATGGGTGCTGGAGTAGCATAAAAAAAATAGGCAATTCTTTTTGGTGATATACAGGGTGATTCTACAAGTGGGCCCCAAACTTCCTTTCCATTTACAAAATAACAGTTTTTAATGTCAGTATATATATACACTGACATTAAAAACTGTTTATTTTGTAAATGGAAAGGAAGTTGGGATATATAATTCTCCATAAGGACCATAGAAAATTTACTGCTTGAGCAGGTTTCCAGGTTTTACATATTCATCTTAGAGAGGTTTCATTGTATTCTTTAAGTATTCTTTGACAATATACTGACAAGCCACTAATCTTTTCCTGCAACTTTTCTGACTAGACTTAGCTATTTAAAAAGCAGTTCTTATAAGGATATTACTTGATTATCATTTTTTCAATATGTAAACTAGTGAATCCCATTGTCTTCAATTCAATCTGCAGCCAAAACTGGGTAATGCCACTTCTCCTTATATCATGCTCGATCTGTTATCATAATTTTCATAAAATAGCTGACTTTCATACATCAGGTTACCTGATGAAGAATTCATTGATTGGATTCAAAAGTTTGTCTAAGCCTAACTCTAATCTCAACCATGTAGTTAGTCCAATAAAAGATATCCATAACAATCCTTGCCTCTTGCATGTATAATTTTTGACATGGCATGATTTTTATTTCTTACATTAGCTACTCAATAAATGTTGCAGTTGGGCATTACGTAAGTTAATACAAAATACACAAAAGGGATAGGGTATAAAAATCAAGCCCCTACACCTTTAGGACAGTGGCACCACCCTTTGTAAAACCATCAGAACAGGAGTAAGTAAAGGAGTAAGTAAATTGAAAACTGGTTTGCAATTCTGATCACTGTCATCTTCACTTAATATTACAGGTTTCTGTCAGTCCCATCCATGTGACATATACAGAGTTTGTATAATGAACTTCAATTAGGCTATACTTACGGCCATACAGACTTTTTCCAGGATCATTATTTTCAATTTCACTCTTGGTTTATTTTTGTTCTATGAATAGATTGATATAGGGAGCTAAATTCAATTTAGATTTGACACCTCAATGGAAATAAATTCTTTTTAGGGGGAGAAGGAGATATGGCAAATAGGAAAGGAAGATAACAGAAACGTTAGAAAAACTAGCAGCCCAAGTAAATTTTGGTAAGAAATTTCCACAGATGTTTTATTATCAGTAATCAGAAAGAAATTTATCAGTGGATCATTCAGGGAAGCCTACATGTCTCTTCTCTCTGCTACCATTCTTCACTTGGAATTTTGAACTACTGATGTGTCATTGATAATCAGCATGCAGGCTGTTAGAAAAAATACTTTATATGTAACATGTAATGCACTGGGTTTACAACCAACATCAGGATATAATGAACAACTAAAGCTCTTCATATGTATTCATTTTTATATGTGAATATTGCTTACTCACTTCATTGAAGTGAACATCTTGCATCCCAACATCCTCCATCATTGAAGCCTCTTCATCGATATTGGGAGTGATTACTCTAAAAGCAGTACAGCCTTGTCTAAACATCCCTGTTATTGAACAGAAAACACATAAATTAGCTTTGGTACAAACAAATAAATTATTGTCTGTACTTATATTTATGGCTGAAAAAGATTTGCTGCTACATCGTATTTCTTAAACACTATTCCTCCTGTAATCTTGGAAATGAAAAAAGTATCATTAACCAATGCAACCAATGGGAATGACAAATCTTCTGTAACCTGAAGAATGGGATTTGATAACTAAAAGATTGTCCCAACTAAAAGAACTGGTCAAGTAAAATATATTGGTCAGATAAAAAGATTCCCAGAAAAATATGAACATAGTTCAGTAATCCATTCCTTGTCTCATTTCCTGGACCATCGTGGCTACAATACTCCAACCCTACTGAACTGAAAAAAAATTCAAGAGGTCCAAGTAGCATTGTATATTATGCTGCACATTTCAGAAGGTTACTCAAAATAGTAAATCTCTTTTTAAAAATGTGTTATAGTATCATATTTACTCAAATCCAAGACCAAGTCAGTCCCCAGAACAAAACTGGCAGTTCCACAAGAAAACCCATCTTCAACCTGGTAGAGGTCACTCATGGGACAATGAAGGTCTGTACACTTTCCTGTCACTTGATTCCTCTTAGAGACCAAGAGGTGAGCAGTGGAGAATGCTCCCCACACCTCCCTGAGACCAGAGGAGAACCTAGGTATGAGGAGCAGGTGGCAGCTTCTAAGTATAATCCATCAAAAGCCATACTGGAGATGTCTCAGATCATCAGGGTGGATCAGAAAAGACCTGTGTGATGTAAAATCTGTGTATTCCTATTCAGATACTATGACAGGAAGAGAGAAAAATAAGTTGCCTGTTCTCAAATTCAGTGATCCACAAACAAAGCAGGTGAGTTCTGTAAGTTACTAGCTATTTTGGAAAAGATCTTGAAAGTATCCAAAGTTTCACTGCCTACTGAGCCCATAGCTGAAGTACCAGGAAACTTTATTTTTTGTAGAAACAAGAGAGTGGGCCTAAGCTTCCTTTCCATTTACAAAATAAACAGTTTATGACTTACACACACACACGCACACGCACTCTTCTCCATAAGAACCATAGAAAATTTCCTGCTTGAGCAGGTTTCCAGGTTTTACATATTTATCTCATACAGATAACTTCCTTATCAGACAAATATTATTGTCTGAGAACTTCGGGACAGTTCCAGCCACCATTGATTTTTCCTTTTGATCAAAAACTAGAAAAAAAATGAGGGTCAAGACAGCTGCCAGTGCAGAATTCTCAGACAAATCTAGGGCCTTAAGTACTACTATCATAAAGTGCCTCAAATGCTAGGGCCCTAATTGTCCTCAACCTGTAGGAAACTTCTCAGGATTTGGAGGTGAAGCAACATCAAATGCAGACTTCTACTTTCCCAAAAGCTTTGCTTAGGTAGCCCACAAGCATCCTCTCTCATTTTTGCAGATGTGTATAACTGTGTACATCTGACTCCACTGGGTGGCATATACATAAGCAGGCCTCCATGCCTCTTGTTTTTTGTAACAGACCTCTGTTTGCTTTGTGGTAGGAGAGTGTGGGCAGCTCACAGTGGCCCTGGGTAGGTGAATTCCTACTCCCAGGGCATGCGGTATGAGGCCCCTAAGCCCCCAGGAGCACCTGCCCACATTTCCATTTGCAGAGGTGTGTCTCAGGAATCTCTTGGCAGGGGACTCCCTGGGCACAGGTATTGTGCTGCTGTGCCCTGACTTGGGTGTGCCTCTGCAAATGAAGGAGCTTGGGGTCCCCCCATTTGCATGTCTCTCATAGGATTGGGAACCTGAAGTCCTGGAAGCAGCAGGGGCCTGACCTTGCAGCCCAAAGGGTGATGTCTAGGTTGTCCAAGATACCTTGGCACACCCAATCCATTTCATCTGGTAACATTTGTTTTTTGTCTCAGAAATCAACATAATACAACACCATAGATGAATTACCATGTGTTATCTTAAGCTATAATGACAAAACTAATATTACAAAATAATTATGAAAGTTTAAAATCATACCTTTTCGCGTGAGATATTCTGCAACCAGTGCTGCTACATGGACATAGCACATTGCTGCCTAAAACAGGATAGAAATTGTAAAGTTACAAATGCTAATTATAATGAAACTTCCAACACTAATAATTTAATTATACATAAAGGACTCCTAATCTCCAATTATGAAAGCATTAACTTCCTATGTGGATTTATACCCAGTGAAAGTAAGGAATCTCTTGTAAAAAAAGTTAATCAAGGAATGGAAGACAACTGGGATATCACACAAGAAAAACTGAGTGACTTTAAGGATTGTAGCAAGTGGAATGGAATTTAACAGCATGAAATGCAAGCTCACACATCTGAGCACTTCTGGTATTAGGTAAGAGTTTCTCAGTCATTTCTCAACTGATAAAGATAAGGATCTTGATCTAGCATCTCATTATCAGAGAGACTTGCCATAAAATCATTCCCCTGCCACTGCTACAGCAGGTAAAGCAGTGGCTGTATGGGTTGGGTGGCTGCGGGGGTGGGATCAGGCAGCCCCCTTCCGCTCTGCCTTCCCTTACTTTTCCTTGCAGCTATCTTGCCCCCTCACCCTCAGCTGCCCACAACCTCTGCCTCTCTGCCTACACGCACACTATCAGATGCTGCTGGGACTCTGTTCCCCCTCTGGAACACAGCATGTGGAAGAGCAGTCCCTGCCAGTCACACAGCAACAGTCTTGGTGCTGCTGACTGGCCAGGCAGGGGATGGAGGTTTCCATGTGCTCCATGCCTGGGAGGAAATCCAGCCCTAGCCACAATGGAGCTGCTCCTGTGTGTGGGGGGGGGTGTGGGGAGAGGATACACAGTGCTTGGGGG